GTACAGATTTCCTTCGGGTTTCTGACTTATCTATTATGTCCTAGAATAATTAAATAAAAATAGATCAGAATTAGCGATTTGGTATAATAATAGTGAAAGTTTAATATTAAACAGAAACCCACTGCACCACTGTGACAACCGATGTCACACCTCTTCAAACATGTTTTTATATAGATATTCGTTAAACACGTGTCAGAATAAATTTCACATGCGTAGTTTTTTATAGTAGAAACCTTCCGATAAAAGCATCGTTTAGATAGACAAGTTTGAGTAGCATTCAATTCCAACTTCCCATTCTATTGCTATCGATGTTGCATATTTATATTCTGTATAATAATATTTTTATATAATAAAGAAAGCCCTGGTGGCTCGATTTCGCATACATAATCAGTTTACTTTTGCATATGTATTTCGTGAATTTATTATATTGTTATAAATGTACATTACTCGCATATGATCGAGAATTTTTAAAATTTTTCTTGGCATCTGCGTTACGAAAAATAACGCACACGTAATTTTTATTAAATTGAATATACCTGTATTTTATAAAAATAATGGAAAATATTCACACCATCGATTCATTAAGAGAATTAAATGCTAAACTCTTAGCTGAGATTGCCAAGCTTAGAAAGGAGAACGATAAGATTCCTGTACTTGAGGCTGAGAATGCGAAGTTGAAGCAGATTATTGAGGAAAATACGATGCGCGATGCCAGAGTCAAGGAACTAGAACAAAAGAATACAAAGCTTGAAGTTAGACTTGCAATATTGGAACAGGCTTCCTTGGTTGAAACACAGAATGGTAAGGAAGCGATACTTATTCATTACAATATCCGTCATCTCCTCTTGATTGCTATTAATTCCTGAAAAAGCTGTCTATCTTCTTCTGTGATTGGGATACGGATCTTTTCAGGCTCGAACCCTATATACTGGGACAATTTTTCACGTAATTCAGCCATTTTATATATTACTGAAATTTTAATATAAGTTATTTCAAATGCACAAAAAATGAATCCGAATGGACAACCGGACAATGATGCATGAACGAAAATAAAGCATGTATTGATAATCAAGGAGCACTAAAATATAGAATATAGATCAAATTTAACGTGCATCATTATTACGTATCTTGATAGGTCATTTTGTTACCATGTGATTATGAAACAAACAATTACCTCTTTTATTATCCAAAATGACAAGAATCGGATACTACGCTCTTCTCTGTTGCTGTTCGCCACTCTTAATTCTTTTATTATTGGCGTTTCTTTGCTTTTATCTCTTCTGTCCAATTTGGTTAACCATACTTCTAGTATTATTTACGTATTTTGGATATAAGTGGATAAGGTACATTCGTCATTTTTCAAATTGACAAATGCTGATACTCACAAGATATTTCTTAGGGAAAACTACTTCAATGTAAAAATGAGATTTCCAACGGGATTTTCTGAAGAAACAAAAAAACAAGTTGCTTTATGGGGTGACATTATTCAAAATAAACATAGGAATGATGACGATGAAATTTTTTGTAACGACTCATTATT